TCAGAGAGAAGAATATTTGGATTTTTTCCTCCGACAATTCTAGAAAACAAAATACAATTATTCAAGGAAATGACTATGTGCACTTAGACAATCATAAAAAATATTTAGCAAAGATAAAGTTAGATCAGTCTTATATGTACTTGATTTTTAACATATATGAAATACCTTAAAGAGACTCCCTCCCTTTTCCCAAACCAAAAAATGTTTTTTTGAATTTTTTTGAATTTAATATAAAGGCGTATAAAAGTCTCATCTAAGTGTGCTATACAATCAGAGTCCCCAAAAGTTTGGAAGTCTCTGAAAGCCCAGGTTTTTTGGAGACCTGTGAAAAAAAAACTTTTTCTTTAGTTTTTGTGTTTTTAATTCTAATGAGGTTTCATCGGACTGTTTGGTTCCATTTTCTAATTAACTAATAATTATTAATTAATCGGTTAATAATTAATTAAAGCTAACATCAGATTCGGATTCTCCACCTTCGAATACATCTTTTTCAATATTATAAAAATCGGCTTCACTAATTAATGACTAGTTAGTGTCTAGTTAATAATTCATTAAAACTGACTTCAGATTTAGATTCTCTATGCCAAACTACCTTTTGTAGCATAAAATTAGTAAAAAAACTAAGGTATAAGTGAAAATAAGTCAAGGATGGATGTGGGTGTGGAGTAAGAAACAGAAGTATCATGTCATCTATACTACACGCACACCCTTAAATCGGTTGATATTTATCTAAATTAAAATTTTTTTTATATTTATGCAATTGTAATATTTGATTTGTACATTTTTTTGAATATAGTAAGAAATTAATGATGTTAAACTACTATTAAGTTAAGGCATTTCATATATGTCAAAAATCAAGTACATATAAGACTGATCTAATTTTATCTTTGCTAAATATTTTTTATGACTGTCTGAGTGTCCATAGCCACTTTCATTGTTCAATGCAGAAATATTGATTGAATCAAGCATAAGACTGAAAGTTCTCTTTATATTTATACAGAATGAACTCTCACTTACCCAATAATTTTGCCGTATTTTTGAACAAGATCTATGTCGTTTTGAATAAGACCCTTAATAAAAAGAACTTTGAACTGTAAATATAATAAGATAAAATGAGAAAGTTTATTACCTTGCGTATAATATTATAAGCCTCGCCAATAAATGGAATGGGTTCTGGGCCAGGCATTCCAAGACGACGAAATATATTATTCCTGCGCAAATTGTAACTAAAATTTGGATCATTAAATTTTTATTTCGAATTAATAATTGAGTTGAGAACAGTACTCACATATAATAAGCAATGATGAGTATGAATAAAACCAACAATGTCAGTGTTATTGAGTCACTGATTAGAAAGTAGATCATTTTTATGTTAGTTATCTACTATAAAAAAAAGCACAAAAAGGTGTTTATAAGTGACGATCCTATTTTTAAGAAATTTGCTCTATGAAAACGTGGTTGTTATTTTTGAGACTTTTATATTCCTTCAATATCAAAACAATTTGTCATTATCTTTACGTCATTTTTGGCCACGTTTCTTATTATGATAACATTTTTGATGACATAGTGAATTTTGTGACTCACAACAATTCGGTTGGTTGAGAGGGATAAGCTACATAGACTTTTACATATATACACTTTTTTACTATTGCACAAAATTTATCCACGTGTAACCTTTTTGACAAAAAAGATGGCGTTCGTTATCGATCTACAGGGGTTTACAAAATTGGGGGTGAGGGCTACATTGCAAGAATATCTTTATTTTCGCTCTAGTGTCCTTTCATTATGTTATGTATTGAAACGATGTTTTTTTAAATTCTCAATAATAACTGGATCCTTCGGATGGTGAGGGTGTGGGTGGGTGTGGGCGTGGGTATGGGTGTGGATATCTCATCCTGATAGCAATCCACACGCACATTCTTGAAATAGAGTTCGATAGTATTCCACTAGGTAGACAAAAATCTTGATTTGATAAATTTTGTATTTGAACAACACATTCATCTATAAGTAAAAGCAAGGTAACTCATACAATGAATGCTAATTAAACAATAAGAGATAGATGAAAACATCGTGAAAACAAGAAATCAGTATTAACACCAAAGAAATTCATGATCAATTTTTGACGATCTAATCGAATGATTTCAAATAATTTTTCAACTAATTCTGCTAGTAATCGATTTGATAAAGAAATAACACATCGTAAGTTCCAAATATGACTGTTTTATAGTGACGGAATTCCATTAATATTGTTGATAGTGATTTTATTCATCTATGAAGAAATGGTTAACATCAGTGAATGATAAATAAATATACGAAGAAATAGAAGATGACGGGGCATACATCTAGTAACGCATTGACAGAAAATTAGAGATAATAAGAACAAATTCGAATAAATCTACAAAAAAATACTGCTATAACTGGCAGTATTAAGTAATATCTCGGCCTTGTCCTATCAGATAGAAACACGATTAGTAACACTTCATTGTTGATCGTTTAGAGTATTGTGTCTAGATGGATATATGCTTCTTAAATTTCTTTCTTTCAGTCAACTATAATACCTCTTGTTAGCAATCATTAATCAAATAACCAAATTATACAATGTTTTTGCATTTCACTAGTGTAGTAGAGTATTCTTCTGTCGAATTGTCAAAGAACTTTCAAGAGAATATCAGATGTATGCACATAATGATCATTAGCAAATTTCATTATAAAGAAGAAGAAAAAATAAAGAGATAACTGTTGTGAATAACAATTTATTATATTTTAAACAGAATTAATAACAACATTTGAAGTTTTGTGTTCTATTCTGAACATATCATCAAGAATAATACATGAAAAAATTAAAAGTAAAAATACAAGAAATTAGAGATTCATTTAATTGTTTGTGTTTATAATCTTGTAATGATCAAGACGACATGTCCTGTCCACATTTCATTCATGATTCAAGTCAGTTATGTTCATAACGCGACATCTTCTTGAGTCCTTGATTAGATAAAAAAAACGTGCGATTATATTAGTTATTGATATCGTACAGTATAGAGCGGTGTCATCAGTTCATAATAATAATATTCTTCACAATGTGTATATATATATAGAAACTAGTGACACATAAATACAGAAACAAAGAAATAAAAGATAAGCAATGAAGCACACGAACAAATTCAAAACAACATCAATTCTTAAAGATCACTGTCTTCATTTAGTTGCATAATTATGTATCATCCTAAGCGAATATAAGTACCCGCATTTGTATCGAACT